TCAGCCCAGAGTTTGTTTCAGGGTTCGATCTGTGAGTTCGCCATGCCTTGACTTTGATCAGCCCAGAGTTTGTTTCAGGGTTCGATCTGTGAGTTAGCCGTGCCTTGACTTTGATCAGCCCAGAGGTTGTTTCAGGGTTCGATCTGTGAGTTAGCCATGCCCTGACTTAGATCAGCCCAGAGTTTGTTTCAGGGTTCGATCTGTGAGTTAGCTGTACCTTGACTTTGATCAGCCCAGAGGTTGTTTCAGGGTTCGATCTGTGAGTTAGCTATGCCCTGACTTAGATCAGCCCAGAGGTTGTTTCAGGGTTTGATCTGTGAGTTCGCCATGCCTTGACTTAGATCAGTCCAGAGGTTGTTTCACTGTATCGATAACTGTCTTCTTTCTGCCACAACGACTAGTAGTCCAACTCCATGCATTCTCGGAACACGAAAATATATAACGCATTTTGAAATCTTGGTTGAAGTAAGGATTCTATCCGTGAACTAAATAAAAAATGAGTATGCCTTTAAAAATATTTTGTTGAAAATATTTCTCGTCTTATGAGGAAATACTTAGTGCCAATTGTTTATCGTGTGGGACTCGTTTGCAATGATCGAATTGGAATTTAGAATCTAATTTTCTCGGAGGGAGGAAACCAGAGAACCTAGAGAAAAAACCTGAAAGGATAGGATAGCACCAAGAAACGATCCAACATTTTCACTTCGTTTTCCTGCGTTTAATGTTTCTTAATGTCGCGCTAACACACGACGTGAACGTTGCAGGCGACGCGGAAGATCGCACCGTGTATCCACCCATGCGACGGTGCAGAGAGTACACAAGTACACACGAATTCTGCTTCTGTAGAGTGGACACTATATATCCGTGATAAACTTTGTGAGAAATTGCACAAATTAGTAAGTTCAGTAGACCTCAGTATACCATAGACCTACAAAACTTTGCACTAATTTGTACAATTTTTTTTAACGATTTCACGGATAAATGGTATGCACTCTAATGTCGCATGCAATGTTGTATGCGTTGCTGGTTGTTTGGGTCTTTAGAAATGCACTTTTTATGGACCAAGGTTTTTAATTTCTGTTCAATTTACGGAACATTTGTTGAGTTATGCGACGCATTTCGTGACTGAAATAGTAAGCTTATTTTTGGATAAAATATCATAAGAAATCATTATATATTGGAATAATTTCTATTTCTTGCTGGTTGGTTTACTGTGTGTGGGGGATAAGGGTGTGGGTCTGTGTGCTTTATTTGTTTGTTGCTGTTTTGTTTTATATTGCTATTACACTTAAATAACTTAAACGCTTTTTTACATTTTTTAGATGTAAGCAACAATGGAATTTCGTGTGATAAAGAAAGTAGTAAAGAAGGCATAAAAACAGAAAATACGGACTCCGATGATTCGTCCGTCCATGACGACGAGGACGGAGATGATAAAAAGGGTCCAAAAAGACCCAGAACAATATTGACAAGTCAACAAAGAAAAGTATTCAAGTCAGCCTTCGAAATAAGCTCGAAACCGTGCAGAAAGGTAGGAAATAGTTTTAAAATAATTTACAGGAACAAGTGTGGCTATAGTGGCGACGTAACAAGAGATTCGTGCTCTTAATTTCTCGCTAATCCTAAAGCTGAGCTTAAAATAATAGAGAGAGGAGGTAAAGTGCGCACGCTCTTGGAAGTCTCTCCATCCCTAGTAGCTCAAGCTTTAAATATCCTTTAAACGGAGTACTGATAGACAGAGGGGGGTAAAGTGAGCATCGCTCTTCGAGTTCTGTCTATCCCTCGTAGCTCGAGCTTTGAATATTTTCAAAAGGGAGTACTGATGCCGGATGGACAAAGGAGGGTATAAAAGTCCTCAATCGCTCTTCGAGTTCTCTCTTTCCCTCGTAGCTCGAGCTTTAAATATTCTTTAAACGGAGTACTGATGGACAAAGGAGGGTAAAGTCCGCATCGTTCTTCGAGTTGTCTCTATCCCTCGTAGCTCGAGCTTTAAACTCCCTTAAAACGAAGTACTGATCGACAGAGGGATGGGTTAAATGCGTACCTCCATTTAAAGCAGTCGAAATATCAACCCATGAAACTAGATAGTTTTACTCAAATAATTGATTTTTGATTTTTTAAAAACTCAGTTGAGAGATTTCTTAAGCATGATTACTGCGATTTCGCTGCCATAGAATCAGAAAGGGAAAAAAAACCATTTTCTTTACAATTCCAGTTTCAGATTACTCACAGCTATGTCACCAAAATCTCATTTTCGTAAAAATGTCGTCCATAATTACTAGCCACGAAGACTTAAAAGTTTACTATTTCGGAAATTACTCAAGAAATCTAAACCAAAATATATTTTACACAAAGGAACTCGAGCCATAATTCTTTCATTTTGTAAAACAATCCTTGAAAAGTAATTTAGAAAGTGTTATCAGATGTTCGTGTCATCGTAATTGGCCTATTAACCAAATGCCCTCACGACTTAAATTTCAAATTCATGGAAAAATAACAATTGACTATTCAATAAAGTTCTAATTTCAAAGATATAGCTTGAGGGGAAAAATTACAAATTTCGAGAGCTATTCACTAGATAGATACTTCATGAGACAAGGTATGAGTTGTACATGAAGTTATGTAAGTTATTAAAGTTTTAGTCAAAACATAATTTAGAGGGAGAACTAATTATCAGACACGCGGCACCTTTCACCTTATATCTTGAATTTGGTAACAAAGACCACGCCCTACAATTGGGCTAATTTTGGATCGACTTGAGGTGCATTTTGTGTTGTAGTATCTCTTGATTGATTCCTAACACACTGTTTAATTTGTCTATCTTCTTATCGTATTCTATCTTGGCTTTATTCTCGTATCTTCTCTTACGCTCATTCCTTTCAATGATCTTCTCTTTTTTTCCTTCTCTTCTCGAAAATATTGATAAAATTCACTTAAAGGAAATAGTAGAATCTCGTTCATTCCCCTTCGTTTTTTATCATCTTTCATCCCTTATACCTTTTCCTCTTTTTATCATTCTCTGCTCATGTCTTCTCTTAAGCTTCTCTCAGTTCTCTCTCTTATCTCCAATTCTCTTCCTCAATATGACCAATATTTTTTGTATATTATTCTTTCAAATGAAATTCTAAGATTAACCTCAGGGGTGTAAAAATTAGTAAATCTAGATACGAGATGGCTTTTGTTTATTATGACAGAGCCATTTTCCAACCTTTTTGAAATTGTCAATTATTTCAATTCATTCATTCAAACTTCACCTGTTTGAATGACTAATGCTCTGCCAAGAATACCCAGCCTTTTAGCTTTTATCAAAGCATCACATCTTTCTTTAAAGCGTGTTAATGTGGCAAAGACGAGTTTGTGGGCACTAAACAACCATTAGTTTTTCATAATTAATAGTCAATTAAGGTACTTAACAGTTGGTGCTAGACTTAGTTATTAACCGCGTATGCGATCATTGGCTATTAATATATTTGAAGGAAGGTTGTGTTTACTGTTTAATTGGATGTGTAAGTAGAGGTGGTTTATAGGTATGGTTTTAGTATACTGCCTGTGGATTTTACTCAAAGGCTTTTTTAAGCGTGGGAAGGGTTATTAAAACAGAAAGAATGCTGATTAATTTTGAACAATAGGATTTTAGTTATCGCTTTAGAAGGCTTTTAGAAAGCCCTTCAAATTATGTCGAACCCTGAAACATCCTCTGGGCTGGTCTAAGTCAGGGCATGGCTAAATTAGATATCAAACCCTGAAACAACCTTTAGGCTGATCAAAGTCAGGGCACGGCTAACTCACATATCTAGCGCGTTAGGTGTTGTCGAGGGAGGTAAACCAGAGAACCTGGGGAAAAGGCCTCGAATCAAGAAAGAACTCTAACTCTACTCACATGTGATACCGAGTCCAGGAATTGAAAAGACTCGCGCCATGTTGTTAAAGTTACTGAAAAGCAGCATTGTCTACTTGGTACTATAGTGTTATTCGACAAGTGTAGAAACGTGTCAGTGCATAACAATCTTTTATCCTGACTGCTCTTTAGATCTAAATCTTTTTGTCAAAGACAAGTATCTGTTTTCATTTCAAATTTTAGTGATTTCAGCACAAAGGTGTTCTAGTAGGATTGGAGACTTCATGCACGCGAATTATGTTTTCATCTGCAACACGAGAAGGATCTGTTCTATACAAGTAAAAACCTCGTACAAAATTGTTAAAAATTTTGGAGCGTTTTTTTACATGAATGAGTGAACGGATGTTACGGAGTTGCAGCATGTACACGGTACGACATGCTGACACTGAAATGGCTTCGCGTTTTTAATTAATTTAACCAATTATAGTGCGTAGTTACGGCTACGATACGGTACTCGTCAAAGTAGTTTTTGCAGTGTCGTTTCGCACCGACGCAAAATTTGCCCTAGCAACTATTCTTTTACATAGTTGAAAAATGTATGGCCAACTTGCGAACATTTTCCAAAAATTGTACAAAATCTTTCAATTTTGGAGACAAAGAATCCTACATCTTTACTGATCAAACACCACGACTTGTCAAATGTCAGCTTATCTGTTAATAAAAATGTGTTTTTGGTCTGATGTTCATTAACGACACATGCGGCCAACAAAGAAACGATCGAAACTGAACCCCTTAATTTGACAACTTGTCGTGTTAATGAATTAACTTTCAATTAAACTTCAATTAAAACGTGTTCATTAATTGATGGGTTATTAAGAAGATGCGATGTTTAGATTAAGACTGTAAGCTCGTTGTTTTTAGTGATTACGAGATGTTTTGTAAGACTTCCTTCTGTAAATAGTCGAGAAAGTGTAAATATAGAAGTTTATTGGTTTAGTTAGTGACTTATACCAAGTAATAATCATCAAGGAAGAAATTTGAAATGACCCTCAGCTTAAGAATGCATATCTCTACAAAATTTGGCTAAATGTGAAAACACATCAGGATTTTAGTAAAAACAATACATTTTTCTAATGGTTTTACTAGTAAAAACTTGAAGACTTCAAAAATAAGCTTTATTTGTAATAACACGAACAGTGCCGGAATTAAAAGAGGTGAAGGTGTAACGTGTGCAAAGCGCAAAAAAAAAAAAAAAAANAAAAAAAAAAAAAAAAAACAAAAAGTAATAAAAGAAAAACGAATTAAAATATAATGAAAAATTCATTTTGGAAAGACGTTTCTGATCGGTTTATAATAAACCATCGAGGAACCATTCTCAACCCTTTAATTATTTTCTGAACAGAAAAGTTCAATTATTGTACGATTGGAACATATGAAGAACTAGACTCTCGAATAATAAACAAAAATCGTACAATAATATATTGGATCATATTACTCCAATGAAAATATTTAGAAACTGTCAAAGTCAGTCCTAAGTACATTGTAAATCAACATAAATATTATTATAGACGTCTTTATAGAGAATTATTACTATACGAGTTTGAAAATGAAAATATTTGGAAACTGTCAAAATGTTAAGTACATCGTAAGTCAACATTAACGTTCATATTTACAATCATAAATATTATTTTAGACGTCTAAGAAGAGAGTTATTGCTATACATGATTGTTGATTTAGAAAACTGACGAAAGAATGTCTGGTAAAAGTGTGTTATTGATTCTAATTTATATTAGAAATCAATAGGGAAGTCAATTTATATATATATCAGACGTGTTTAATCTCAGGTGTCTACAGAATGAAATAAAAAATATGATCATAATAAAAAAGAACCTGTTTGGAAGTCGATCACTTCTTTAATAACTAAACTACAAGCGGACAAAATTAGTTCCCAAAATTTCTCAAACTAAACAGCAAAGTTCATTTTTGTTTATTACAGTAGTTTTCATTTATAGTTTTGTTAATTAAAAGTCGAGGTATACGATTTACTTTGTTTATTTTTTATTTTACTGACTTATTTTAACTTGTTGAAATAATTTAATTAAAATTATGAATGTTCAAATTTAAAGCTATATTTCCGTTGATGGTTTTGTGAGCGTTTTGGTTTTCAAAGAAGAATCTTTTATATCAAAGGTTCTAAATTTATATATTTATCAATTTATAACGCATTCGTGGCTTTATACAGAAGTTTGAAAGTAATATATTTATCAGTTCTTTTAATTCTGTTTTTATATACTTTATTTATTATAAAGCAGAGCAGATTTTTATTCTTATTACTTATAAGAACTTGAGTTCTTTATTTTTCCACTAAGCGCCAAAACGCGCGCGCTCGCCTTTCAAGAAGTCCTTTGCGAATAAATTTTCTATTTTTCCTGTAATAAATTTGGCGGGAACTCTGCCGCCAAAACGCGCGCGCTAGCCCACAAATTCTGAAAATGGCCTCAGAAAAGCCCTTTGGGAGTAAATATATGTCGTACGTCACTACAATTGTATCTGGGTGTTACTGAACTGTACAATATTTATTTCTTATTTTTGTTGTTTTTTAGGTAAGAGAAGAGCTCTCCCGCGAAACAGGCTTGAGTGTCAGAGTAGTTCAAGTCTGGTTTCAGAACCAAAGAGCAAAGGTACAGAAATCAGTAAGTTTCCAACACTTCTTTTTAATCTCAATACACGTTTGAAAATTATTATTATTAAATATATTACAAATTCATTACTATTTATTGGTCTAAGTATGGCACACCAACCAATCAATCTAAAAGGAAATCCTCTTCCAAAAAAAGATTAACGATTCTTTAAGTTCGTCAGCATTATTTTCTTAGTTTTAAAGTAATTTTCTAAATTTAAGAGGCTATTATTATTATCAAGAAAAACTGGAGTTTTTGTGATATAAGTGAAAATAGAATAAATAATAATGGGGGACATATTATTACACGTCTTTCTTTCCTTCCTTTTTTGATTGCGTTATTTTTATGAGATACGACATTAGCAGTTTTGCTCTAGTAGTTTTATCTCGGCTATTTCTGTATTCGCTAAGTTAAGGGTAAAAAACAAACACAGTTGCAAGATTATAAATGTGCAGCAAGATTAATTGGAATTTACACCCAAATTTTTCTTTAGATCAAAAAATTAGCAAGAAGAAACAATCCTGACTCAGATGGAACAAGCAGTTGTCGGGTCAGCAACAGACAACGCAGTTTGAAAAAGACAAAAGATGGTAAAGGTAATTTTTGTTTTAATCCAGACGCCTTCTTTTTCTTTTTCTTCTTCTTCTTTCTCCTGTTCTCCTTCTCCTTCTTCTCCTTCTCCTACTTCTTCTCCTCCTCCTCCCCCTCTTCATCCTCCTCTTCCTCCTCCTCCTCTCCTCCTCCTCCTCCTCTCCTCCCCCTTCTTCTTCTTTTTCGTCTTCTTCTTCTTCTGCATCTTCTTCTTCTCTCTTGTCTTTCCTATCTCTGGTTTACTTCTCACGTTCTTGCGTTCTTTGATGTGTCGTCTTGTGTGAGTCTGCTGTGGTGGTCTTGGGACTATGAGAGAGTTATGGTTCTCAAAGGAGACTTCCTTTATCCATTTCTTCATTTTTTCAAACGTGTAAGGAATTTGCTAAGATCATTTTCTTTTTCAATCGATCTTCATTCATTTATTCGTTTCCCATATTTTCATTTTCAAATCAAACAGACTCTTCTTCCATTCATTGCTTCTCATCTTTTATAGTGAGTCGAGATGAATGCCATTAATTTGAGTCCATTCAAAATGGATTTTTCTTTCCTCGTTCCATTCTTCTCATTTTTCATTTTCTCATTACATCTAATTCCAACTGGTTGAGATTCCTTACTATGATTGATTTTCATTCATTCATTAACTTCTCATTTTTTCGTCTTCAAATGAGATGAACTTCATCCATTAATTTCTTCTCATCTCTTATCCCATTTGATTCCAATTTTCGTCTTCAAATGAGATGATCTTCATCTATATATTTCTTCTCATCTCTTATTATCATTCGAGCTGATCGAGATTCGCATGTTAATCGTTATCCCATCTGATTGAGATCTATTTTGTCCTTCTCCTACAGGATCAAGTCCAAGAGAAAAGCGTCGAGGAGACAGAGATCTAATGGACCTGCCACCAGATCTCTCTCCATCCCACATCCCTGTATCTCATTCACCATACGGGATGATCCCATCTCAATTCCAGCAAAACATATCCAACCACATGGGCTCGATGATCCCCCCTGGCTACTCCTACCAACACCAGCCGCCATTGAATCACATGGATACTGGCGACATGTCGGTGGACCAGCACGCTATGCAAGCACTAGAAGATTGCATGATGCCGCAGCACCAGTACCCTCCAACCGATATGGGTGGTTATCCGCCGGCAACCAGTCATAATGGTCAGAACCATTTAGAACTTATGCATGATATGATAAATTCATTTTAACAAGTCTTGTATGTCTATTACTGGTACCATAAGGGCAATACTTGGCTATTTTATTTAATTTGATGATACATATATTATATATAATAACGGCCCTTAAAAGTGATAATTGTCTTAATGAAGTAATAATATACCAAATAGGATGATATGGAATTATAGATCACATGACTACTTCCTGCATTGGCCAGGAAATTAACCGAATTTAGTCTTGATGTCAGTAGCTATCACTAGGATCCATCGAATGGGTGGCGTGCATCTCTTCTCATAAGAATAAAAGAACGAAGAACGTGGCCACCATGTTTGTCGTTATAACAAGACACCAAGACCGAACTTTTTGTCACAGTCATCCAAAATGGCTGCTATGACGTCACATGCACCCTAAGAATTGCTTTCAAATGTGATTCCTTTTGGCGGGAAATATCACGTGATCTATTATTACGTACTTCCTATTAAGCTTAAAAACAATAGGCATTCTTTACTTTCATTGTCAAACTCTTCTACGAAAGTTTATTACTTAAAAAATCATTGAAACATAAAATATAACAAACGAGACGCGACTTGACGATTACTTACGGTTACCTTAGTGACTACAAAATTTCCGGCTTTTTTTCTCTAAAACTACACACTTATTCAATGTAAAATTTGAGAAGTCTCTTTTGATTTAATTTTTGAAAATTCTGTGAAATTTGATTTTTTTAACGGTGAAATTCGAAGACACTAATCACTTGAATAATTTCACAAAACGTTACTAACAACGAAACTTCAAAAATCTTACGTTTTTGATTAACACATGAATTGAAACACACCAAATTATATGATATTTAAAAAGCCTTCTACCTTCAAGGCATGTTAATTACTATTTTCTAACTTTCAAACACAGGTCACTAACAGACATTGGAACCTGTATATAGTCAGGGCAGATCAAGTAAAGACTTCGTTGAAGAGTTGACAATAAGTAAGGAGGTTTAAACTGTGACTGAAAACTGCAGTGTTTTCCTTTCCTTTCACTGTTCTCTCGTCAAAGAAACTTTCTGACACACTGATAGAACTTTCCTGAATTTGGTTTAAGTGAGCAAAAAACGATAGCTCAAGTTGAGAGTGATTTCGATAAAATACAGTAAATGTATGAACACATCAGTTTGAAGCCATTGTTTAGTGGTCACTCAAGCAAATTAGGGAAGGATTGATTAAATATTTGAAGTCAAAACTGTTTATATGTAGAGACCTTGAAGGTACGACGTTATAAAGTAAGTTGGAAAAGTCTTTTAAGTTTAAAGACAAATACAGAAAATTCTACTGATATTTACTTAGGAAAATCATTATATCATCAGTAGGTCTAAAGATAGTGAAATCTCCAAAACCTTGACTGTATCCATGGATACTGTTTCTATGGATACCATTTCCAAGTGTGCCCTTTTGATACCAAGCACAGATATATAAATGCACACAGGCAACCCAAGGTCTAAGTTCAGATGTTATGGAAAATATTTCAAATAGTAACAGGATAACAATCTGTTGTCACTGAAAACAGCAATATTGCAATAGTACAAAGTAAGGTTCATAAAATGGCAGATATACAGTTATCTAAAGAATAACATTGAAGTGAGGCAAATAGGTCAACTTCATATTATAATGACCTATTTGTACTCCCTAAAGCATCTCTTACTGCAAATTTAACTGTATTACATTTGGCTATTATGTTTTACCCTGCTCAAGAAGTACATTTAAACTAACCCAAAATCTGTGAATAGACCTTGTGTTGCTGGTGAAATACACTATCCATTGTTCAAATTAAAATAAGATGTAATATATTGTGTATACTCAAATACTGATGCCTTGACTATGACAAAGCTACATAATCAATCTTATAATTGTACAGTTATAAATCCTACGATACAATATAGTTACTCTGGAAAAATAACAGATAATACTTATTCAAAGTTATCTAAGATATAAAAACCAATTAAGTTATTAGCAATTATTAAACTATTCAAGAAAAAATGAATAGACTTTACTTAAAATAAAAGAAATATGTGTTTCTCAGAATACAATTTACTGATCAAATACTGTTTTGTTTTTACAATTTTTTTAAAAATTTCAACACTTGAAGAAAAAGTATAGGCATTCAAAGATTGAAAAAAAGATGTATTTGAAAATGTGTTGTGTGCAAGATTTATGTTTTATTCCATCAAGTAATGTATTTATAACATACCAACTGTGTTATAATTAGTGTTTGTATTAGATCGTATAACTTTGATACTTCTGCTCCTGTACATGCTAAAACCTTGAAAAAACTGTCATGTCTTGTAAATTAGATATTAAATATGGATTATTTCAGTCAGACTGAGTGTATCCTGTGAGCAGATGTTAAATTTTCTTTCTTCCCCTCCGTAGGTCTAAGCAGCAGGGTTGAGGAATATTTTTTTCCTTCCCAACCAATAGGCAATAGCCAAAATGTAGTGGAGGAAAGAAAATTATCTATGAAGCTAGAAGGGTAGACTAAGTGACCACATTAAAGTGCCTAGACTGACAATATCTGACAATATTCTTGGTTGTATAGATTCTACATAAGGTGAGCTGTTCTATGATCCAAAAAATTTTATAGTTTGAGTGATGAGTTCTGAAGGGTTTATTCTCATTGTATGCTAATGACTGTGACATCGGCAGAGTCATTTATGTCTATATGTTGTCCCCTGTAAATTGAAACACCAACAACTATGTGGACACTATTTAGCAATAATCTTTTTAACAGTCATGAGTAAAACAGTGAAATTTGTTTCAGTCATTGTAGAGCTTACCTTATTTAGAATCTATAGAACTAGTTACCTAGTAAAAAAGAAAAAGCCTTCGCACATGTCCTTTATCGTATCCAGCTATTTGTAAAAAAGGTTGGTGAAGGTTTTGTCGCATCTTCAATAAAAGGCCCAAATTGCACTATGGGTAAATTATGTGTATACAATCAGCAAAAGGTCACAACAATATGGAATTTTCCTAAACTTTATCTGGACATTTTACCAGCATAATTTTGTCTGTGCTGACATTATTTACATACATATTCATGAATATAATATATTTTAAGCTTAGTAAGCATCATACAGCATGCAACGAGACCTTCACCAACCCTTTTTAAAAAGCTGTAGTTAAGAGAAATCATAGTACAGCAATATAAAACCAAATAGGCTTAAAAGTTAGCTCTGTATTCACCTATGTAATTATTGTTGTTCATACAATAAAAGTCAAATTCCAATTCACTATGTTGCAGTCAAAATTCTTAAAAAACTGAAGAATGGGACATGAAATTTGGAGGCATCATGAGTTGGGAGTTAAATATAAGAAATGAAATAAGGATGATTTTTTATAAGATGGGAAGTGAATAAAAGGGTGTGTTTGGGGAGTGAAGTAAGATGAAATGGGGCAATAGCAAATTTTGCAACCATAGCTTTATTGGCTACTGAAACAAAGAGATCTTTTGTTTTGGTCGTCAAATTTGAATGAGAAAAGATTCCTGACGTCAAAGTTTGAAACAGTGAATATCGCTATTCAAAATTGACTTTCATTAGATCGAATTAAAAAAATGAAAACCCAGCTTTCCTTCTCATTGATCAAGTATCTTTAGACTAAAAGAGAGAGCTAAAATTTATGTGATATTTCGACTAAAAGAACAAATCTCGTCGTTACGTTTGTGCGCAGTTTAGTTCAAGTGTGAGTTCAAGTGTGAGTTCAAGTGTGCATTCAAAGAGGGTGGAGGCAGGGGCTTAGTTTTTGAATGCTATGAGTGCCCCAGATCATCAACATCTCTCTTTTCAGAACTATTTCCGAACATGAAAACATTTTCTATGCTTGCATGAAGTACTTTAATATAAGTTTATTTCGAATAGAATGCGGAAGCAAAGACTCCACAGTTGAGCTGAATTCGCTTATCAACTCTTTCAGTTTTCGGCCTATTTTCTCGAAAATATGGAATTTTAAAAACAAAATTACCACTAAAATAAATACATACCTTTAAATAAAACATACCTTCATGATTTCCTTGACCTTCTTCCTTGTTTTTGACATTATTTTGCTTCCTTTAAATATCCATTCAACTTCCCCTTCTTGCTGACTCTGCTGACTTTAATAGTTATGGCGCGAAAATATTGTGTGACAATATATCGACAATAGTAGAGTGTGACAGTCACGCATAAGATTTACCACAGAAAACCCACATAGCATCATGTGGTCCCATCCTTTCCGTTTGCAATCCTTCTAAATTCAGCTACTTTTACTTCTAAGGTGTCTATTAGTTTACTTATGTTTCTTAATGAATTATGCTCAGAAAGTGATGAATTTCAGTGCCTATATAAAATTTCCAGTTCTCCAACAAAGATGCTTTGTTAACCATACCCATGGTTGGAAAATATAAGTTGATTGATTTTATGGTGATAATAAAAGGAATTATAGCTCAACACAGCAAAATCTCACAGTACATGCCCTCAACTGGTCCCCCGAGTCTTTAGATCAAGGAACACATCTGTATTATCTGATGAATTACATATTGACATAGCTTTATTATTTTCTTCATCAGAATTGCATAATGTTTATATTGCTGACCTTTACAATCATTAATTAGATTTTCACTAGTGAGAGGAATACATTTGTTGATTTTTTTTCTAGAACCAATATGGTTGGCCATGATATTTAACCACAGGCTTACCACCCTATTAATTATTTGGGATTTCTTAGGTTAGGGATTCCTGTGGCACAGAGATAGCTGTTAAGCAAAATTTGAAGTCCCCTTCACAGTTCCCGGCACCATCTTGAAAGGTACAGTGTAGCTGTGCCTTTACAATGAAGTGATGAACAGTGAGCTTGCAATGATAGAGACATGTGAATAATCATCCAAGACCCTAAAAAAACTAATACTTAGGGTGGTAAACCTGTGATTTAACAATCTTTTAAGACATACATGTCTATCTATCTAAATGTGAACCTCTTAGGTTTAGTCTAGATTCAACCAATATACATGGCTAGCCATGATATTTTTAACTCTTTTAAGAGATACATGTCTGAAAAAAATAGATTTTTCAGAGAGCATTTGTCCAAATAAAATGTGTTTATGCACACCATTGATAAATACTAAATAATTGTACAGTATTCAACTTCAATTTATCAAAATCAATGATAGCTCATTAATCTGATTAAGATCCTTTGTAACACGCAGTTCCGTTTCAAGTACGATATGCAGAAGTTCAAAGTTTACACTCAAATTCTTCTTCATCTTTTGATGATCTTATCATTTTGGGGGAGTTTCCTGTAGGGGAGAAAATTGGAGATACATTTAGGAGTAGTAACACCACAATGAAAATAAATAAAATAGATTTAATCAAAGAGTTCCTTGTTGGTTGTCATTAAATTCATAATAGTTTGTTTTATCAACCGTAAATTTAATAAATATGATCCGAGCTTTCAGCCTACTCGGCCATCCTCAGGGAAATGAAAAACGTTACAATTTAATTTGATTTGCGCACACATATGCCATGGTTTGATTGTGTTTTTCTTTGTCAATTGTAACGTTTTTCGTTTCCCTGAGGATGGCCAAGTAGGCTGAAAGCTCAGATCATATTTATTAAATTTCTGGTTGATAAAACAAACTATCATGAAAATGAATTTACTTTATTTAAGAGGGTGACATGTATACATTACTGGTAGCCCAGTAGTTTACATTATGGCCCTCCTACAATTAATTAATGAAACTGAAATGAATGATCAAAGAAACATTACGTGCATGGTCGAGAAACCGAATCTGAACTAATCAGGAATCGGACAAATATAGTCTCAGCTAGTGGCCACAGTGGGACTCAAGCCCAGCATCACCGGATTGCGAGACCGACGCTATGACCACTCGACCATGCTGCCTCCTCAAAATCATCATCACCATTGTTACACCATAATCATAATCATCACCATCACCACCGTCACCATAATAATCCTCATCCTGATCATGTAATCATCATAATCTTATCATGGGATTATCATCATTCACCACCACAATTATCACCATCATCATCACCACCACCACCATCATCATCATTATCATCACCATCATCATTACCATTATCATCATCAACATCATTGTTATCATCAACACCATCGTCATCACCACCATCACCAATGATCATCATTATTCATTATCATCATAATAATAATCACCATCATCATTACCATCATCATCACCATCATTGTCATCATCAACACCATCATCACCATTGTTACACCATCATAATCATCATCATCACCACAATTATCACCATCATCATCACCACCACCACCATCATCATCATCATCATCACCATCATCATTACCATCATCATCATCAACATCATTGCCATCATCAACACCATCGTCATCACCACCATCACCAATGATCATCATCATCATAATCACCATCATCATTACCATCATCATCACCATCATTGTCATCATCAACACCATCATCACCATTGTCATCACCACCATCACCATCACCATCATGAGTCATCATCATCACCATCATCATCATCAGTCATCATCAACAACGGGAAATTATCATCGGTGCTTATCATAATCACCACTACCAATATCATAATATACACTTCAAATCTTCGAAATCTTCCCCTCTATACAGAAAACCAAGGTTTGAAATTGGAAAACCTTTAGTCTAAACTGAGTTAGTGTACTGGAATTAATAGCAATGTCTTACCATTCTTAGGAAGAAACCGTGATATGAAATTCAAAGGCAGAGGAAACAGGATTGTTGAGCTTTTCTCTGCAGAGATGGTTGTTAAGGTCTGAAGGTATCGCAGCTGAAGAGCTTGTGAGTTTTCTGCAAGAATGTCAGCTGCTTCTTTTAGTGATCGGGATGCATTCATTTCACCATCAGCAGCAATAACCTAAAGAAATTTAATCAAAAATTAAATCTGATTCCTACAAAATAGGCTACATATGATAAATTCAGGTCTAACCTTTGCTCTGGCTTCACGTGAAGCCTCCGCCTCTGCAGCCATGGCTCTCTGCAGCTGTTGCGGCAAACGTACATCTTTACTAAAGGATTATAATAATTAATAAGTGTTATATCATTAAATAGAAACCAGTCTCTTTGATTATTTTGTTTAAAAAGTGATTAATTTAGCAATGCAGCCAGTAACAATGATCTAATCTTAATCTTAAGCAGTTTCTCTTAAGCAATAATTGATGGAAACGATGTTTGTTGATTCAAGGCCCAGGGGAAGGGGGGGGGGGGGTACTACTACCCCAACTTGGGTAGGGGTGTCCTGCCAGGACCTCAAAACCCTGACCTTATCCCAGACCCAAAATTTTGATTTTATATACCCTACCCTGGACTGAAACTAAGAATTGTACACCCTATCAAAGACTAAAAGACGGAATAGACGATTATTCAATAGATTGCAATCAATATTTACTAACGTTTTTATTGCATTTGTGCCGGCAGAAAGCGTAGCCTATTTGCCAGACAAAAATGACCAAATCGTTAACCCTATCCCGGAAAAATGGATACCCTATCCCACACAAAACGTCAAAAAATGATACCCTACCCCAGACCCAAAAGCCGAAAAACCATACCCTATAGGGGGGCACATACCCGTATAGCAAATATAGGGGAGGTCCCCCCCCCCCCCCCAGGTTCAAGGCATAAAAACTTGTGAAGCCAGAATTTAAATGAATAAACTTTCACATGTTTTCACGTCAAGTACATGAATAAAATAATATGATTGAGATTTTAAGTGTGAAAAACCCTTAATTATTTAAAAAATAAAACAGCTTTTCCCCTGCTACAGTAATACTTCTTACACTTCAACTCTCTCGACTTTGACACCCCACGGGTCTGTTGCCTCATCAAGGGAAGTCTAAGAATTAAGAAAAAAGTACAAAAATATATTACTAAGTGATAACAAAGTATTGGAACAATGACTGTTACAAAAGACCTTTCTTGAGTTCCAAATAGGCCCTTTGCAGTTAACGGTAATATTAATGTTTTTATATTAAATTGGTGATTCTTTTTAGCTACTTGTAAAGATCTGAATGAAACGATGTGTAACCAGTGTGTTATGAAATGCAGTTTTATTACAGTCTCTCAAAACAGGTTGTAGAAAGTTTGTTTCCTCTCTAGTAAATTTCACCCTTGGGAATCAAAAATGTTCATTCATTTGCTCTCAGTGAATTAATCAGCACATGATTGTTTAGCTGCAAAGGGCCTATTACCGCTGTGTTCCTTGATTACAGACTAATTTACTCAGGGTTAGCCTTGTATCAGCGTCCAAATATTCACAAATACCAATGGTAAAGTAAAGAATGAACAGCTTCAAAAATATGAACACTTTGAAATTCCACGAGCCTTTAATGGAGCATATGAATATTCTGCACAAAATTCGAGGCTAACCCTGAGCAACAGAGAAGAGTGTGACTCAAAACTGTAGGCCCCGTGTGTCTTCACTATATAACCCTGTATAAGGCAGACGTAAAAGATCCACTGAAGACGCTGGTGACGACCATCTTCAGTGCCTGTGCTAAAACTCTACAGGGCCCACTGTAATTGACATAAAAGCTGTTGTGTTGTCCCTTCCCTCAAATTCTTGTGGTAATGCAAAATTGTACAACGCATTTCAGGACTCAGTTGACTAGAGCTGGCTATCAGGACTTCTTCAATATTGATTGGTATCCACAACACAATGCTTGGGACTCCAAATTTAAGTAGTCTCAAGACATGGTTAAAAAAATTCTTGCACAATCATTTGGTAAAGATAACACTCTCTCATGGGGAGCATGGGTGGCGTAATGGTGAGAGCACTCTCCTCTTACCAATGCGACCTGGATTCGATTCTCGAACTCGTCATATGCAAGTAGAATTTTTTTTTTCTCTGCTGTGATTTAAGGATTTTTCTCTGGGTTCTCTAGTTTTCATCCCTTCACAAAGATCAACTTTTAAATTCTAATTCAATCTAGAAAGGGTCTAAATGAAAATTACTCAGTGTAACTCTAGCTACCCTACCAAATTGTGTAGTTTTTTTTGGCTACATGGATGTGACAAACAGTGCCACAGAATTGCATGACAACAATACCACCTTTCAATGTAACAATAATTATTGCAGTAATGACAAAAAGGTAAATCATACACCATGAAAAGATTTTAAAAAACTGACGTTTCGGACACTAGTCCTTCCTCGCAGTAAAAGAGAAAGAGATGGTAGAAAGAAGTGTTTATATGAGAGTTTTTATTATTGCAGTACACACCAAAAACATGCAGCTTTAGAAAACTTAACATAATTCACAAAAGAACAACACTAACCTGCATAACATGGCTAATATTGTCTCTCTCAGACAGAATCTCACTCAAGCTCTTTGTTCCCAGCACATTCCTGAGGGTCGTTTGAGCCAGCAGACGGGTGGAGCGGTTGGCGTCTTCAACCTTAGTGATCGATATCGTGGCATTGTAAATTTTGAAGTACACGACGGCATCCACAGCTACTGTCACACTGTCTTTTGTGAGAATCTAGATGAAAAGTAATAGAAAATAAATTGGAGCATTTCTAATGTAAAGAAATAGAAAACCTTAGCATGTGCAGTGTGCATTATCTATCCTTGGGATGCATGTTACGTTACATCTGCCATGTTGGTTGATGATAACAAAGCATATCCTCATTAGCTTCTCTTGTTAGATCAACCAGCATGGCTGTTTCATTCTGTAGTTCCAGAAATTATCCAAACCCTCCCCCCCAAGGACAAATTTCTTTCAGACCTCC